TCGCTTGATTACCGCGGTCTCGACGGCTGCATATACCTCAATTACGGATTTGGCGCACGCGCTGGCCACGCAGTCGCCCTCGCGGCAGCTCAGGAATGCCTCTCGCACTCCAGGGCCGAGGTGCAACTCCTCGTGCAATCGCCCTCTATGCTCTTCCTCTAGCTTGGCACAGTCGTCGAAAGCGGCGCCGCGCAGGTGGTAGTGACACTGCGCGTGGTTTTGCTGACGCTGGCGCTGTTTTCCAAGTGCTGGGGCCACTCGCGCGGCGCGGCCTGTGATGGCGGCTGCGCACTCGAAAGCAGCGCAGGCCATCTGCTGGCTGTCGGCGACGCACAGCTCCTGCAGCTCCCGGGCCACCTCTTCGGCGCCCTCGACCCTGCCAAGCTGCCAACATCAGCTGCTGGGCGCGGCCGGAAACGTCGCGGTCGGCCTCTTCGGGCATCATCGACACGGCCGATGGCGGCGAACCACCCTCGGCGACGCTGGCGGCGTCCTCGGGGGCGTCGACAACGCAATCATCGACCGCCCCGGCCCCGCTGCCCGGCATCGGCTGCCAGCAGCTGTCCGTCACCCAAGACAACCTGGATGATGCGAGCGTCCTGCCGCTGCTCGCCGACGAGGCTGCGGGCGTCGAACTCGACGCCGTCCAAGAGCAGTTGGCAGACGTCGCCTGGGTTCCGACGGAACAACCAGATAACCAGAATGCGGGCGCAGCCCGGCCACTCGCCCACAGATTTCTGGCCGCGCACGAGACGCGCGTCACGGACGCCAGGTAGCTAGTAGCGTCAGCGGGGCAAATGGCGCAGAAAGTCGAGAACATCAGGGCTTTGCCGAGCCAGCTCGGTCAGCTGCCTGCCCTGCTCGCCCCCCAGCGGCCGAACGTCCTGGCCCCCGCGCCTGGCGCGACGTGCTGCGCGAAGTCCTCCACGCGGTCCCAGGCCGGGCCTGCTCGAGCCATGCCGGTCCCCACGTCGTCGAAGACGGCACCGATGAAGGTTCGCATGGCCCGCAGTCTGCAGACTATCTCGGCGCCGAGGCACGTGGCCGCAGCTTTGCCCGTGGCCGGGCCCACAGAAAAGACAGCACCAGGACCTGCCCAGCCTGGCACATCTTTTGGGCCAGGAGGCTGGTGAACCCTCACCTCGTCACTCACAATTAAGCGCCCCCCCATGGTCTGCGTGGCACGTGTCCAGAGGGCGCGGCAAACACAGGCAGCCGAAGTAGATACAATCAGACCCCTTTGCGCTACAGTTCCCGATTCCTGCGAGAAGGGGTCGCAGCTGAGGCGCGCCATGCCGGCGTGACCGAAGGCCCCAGAACCGCGGGGGGATAGATGAAGGACTGCGACGACCACGTTCTCGGAGTCCGCGATGACTCGCTCCAGGATGAGTCGGGCGCTTCGTTGACCCTGCCCGACCACGAACGCCCGCGGGCTAGCGTCGCGCATGATCACGGCGATCTCGCCGCGGCAGCCGGGCCCCACCACGCCGCCCGCGACGTCGCCGCCCTCGAGGGCCAGTCCTGAGCGCGGGGCGATCCGCAGGCAAGTGCCCAGCGGCGCATGAGCGGCCACGCCCGTGGACACCGCTCGACAGCACAAGTCGCAACACTGACGTCCGCGCAGGGGGACAGGTCCAAGCCTGCTGCGCGAGGCGCGCCCCGCACTGGCGCCTGTGCGCCGGGGCTAAGAAAATGCATTTTGAGCTTCTTGAACTCGCGGGCGTCGCTGGCGTCGCCCTGGCCGTTGTTGTCCACAGCTAGTAGCGCGAGCTGCTCGGGCGGCAGCCCCCCAGTCGGCGGTCTGAGTTGGCCAATGTCGTCGACTGGCATGCATCGGCGGCCGCTAGGAGCTGCCTCGCGGTCGCTGCACGGCGCCCGGGCCCCGATTGATTTCGCGGCCTCCGGGGCCGGGAAACGCGAGGCGCTTGCGCGATGCGCCCGTCTCCAAAGCCCCGCCGCTGGACCGCGCGGATCGCGGGCCAGGAAGGACAGGATGGAGTGGGAGGACAGGAAGCCACCGCCCCCCACTGCAGGAGCACGCACGCGGCGCCAGGTGGCCACGCCATCGCGGGTGGCAACTGCACTGGGGCCGCGCGCCCCCCAGCGGGCAACCTGCGAGCCGTTGCCCACCCCTGCCACGCAAAGTGGAGACGTCAGCCTCTCCCCCGCGGGCTGGACCGCCATGGCTTTGTCGGCCAGGTTATCACGGAGCAATGCCCCAGAAGTTGGCCCGCGCGCCGGACGACGGCGAGCCAGCCGCCCAGGTCGGCGCTCGCCAGGTAGCATGACAGGACCGTCGGTGGACTCGGGCCCGCACCCGACGAGGTTAGCCACCACTGGATAGTCGGTCGGCTTGGCGGGGCGCCCAGGCCCAAACGGGCGTCGCGCGGCACCGCCGCGTCGGCAACTGACACAAAACTGGAAGCACTGCCAGGGGACTGCATTAGACCCTGCCGCGGCGCCCAGGGGATCGGCGCGCGCCGATGAATCCGGACGACGCCCTGCTAGGGCGGCGTCTCTCCAGGCGCGCCGTCGCCTGGCATCGGCCGGGTCCGCGCCGCAGGCGCCGGGCCCAGGGCGCCAGGATCTGCCGCGCGGGCCGGCAACACACTTGCTGGACCAATTGCAACACGACCTGCACCAATGAGGCGGAACTCGGCGACGACGTCAGCTGGGCCTCGGCACGGCGGGCGGGCAGCACACCAGGCATGCCCGGCGCAAGATGCGGCGCCACTGCAGGCGCGGAACTCGGGGCAGATAGGACAATCCAAGGACTCGAGGCAGATAAGACATTCTCGGTCATCGCCGTTGAAGACCGCGACGCGTGGCGCAGCTGGCGCGGCAGCCGGCACAGGAAGTGGATTAGTAAGGGGTCATGTCCAACTCCGCGCGGCTCGTCGTCGCCGCTCTTCCTGTTGTCGTAAGAACAAAATTTCAGGCCGGGCATAGTGGAGTCGTCGTCGCGCGCGGCCTAGTTAGAGCGAAGCCTACCCCGCGTTCGGATCGCACGCCGCTGAACAATCCGGCGCCGCGGCCGGCGAACCACATGGCCAATCACCCCGATGGCTGGCTCACGTCAGAGGGGGCGTCCTGGCTAAAGAGAACCATGCGTTGGGAGACTCCGGCTACCGGCGGTGACGCGGCTACCGGCGCGGGACATGGAACCTCCTGGAGCTCGATCCACGCAGCGCGCTGATGCCAAGTGCTGGGACCGATGGCACGCAGGCCCAACTCGGCAACTGCACATCGGCAGATGGGGCTGCTGGCACCGCGACTCGGGCATTGACGTCGCTTACCCAATCGCGCCCTTGCCGCGGCCCCAGCGGAAAGGCACTGGCCACTCCAGCCCAGCATTGCGGTGTCAGGGCTGGCGGCGCTGCTGATGCTGCTGGCGCTGTGGGCGCCGCAAGTGCTGAGGTCCCCATTCCTGCCGTGCGGATTGGCAACGTAAGCACCATATCCGCAGGTTGAGGAGAGCCCTGATGTACGCGGTCCATCAGTTCGTCCATTTCCAGGCGCAGTCGCCGAAATTCGCCCCCGCCAAGGTTGGGCGAAGCCGATGAAAACGATGAAGTACCCACCCAGCTTCACCAATGGCTCTGGCCAGGTGCCGGCCAAAAGCCGTCGGACGTAGCGCTGGGAGCTGCTGCTCTTGATGCCAATGCTTGTGCTGTCCCCGTATCTGCCGAAGCTGGAGTCGGTTGAACGGCCGTTCCAAGAATCGGCGATCTGCATGGGGCCACCGTCATCGGGCCCCAGAACCACAAATGCGGGCATCACGCGGTTTCCCTGGTCAGCCTGACCGAACTTCCACAAAACAGTTGCGGACAACCCGGGACGCTCTGCCGACACCGACGATGCGAGCGTCGGATCGAACGACTGCTTGAAACGGTCGGCTACATCGACATGTGGATGCAATGAGGGCGATGCGTCCTTGGCATCTGCCTCCATCGGGCTTCCGCAACACAATTGCGAATGGTTCGGGGCCTACTGGTGCGTGCTGCGAAGACGTGGGGGCCCTGAGCATCTCGAACACAATTCAAAAGTACTCGGGGGGAAGGCAAGGCTAGCCAGGGGCGCGGTTTTTCTTTTTGATGTCCTGGCGTAATAGCAAAAAGCGCGTCTCCCCCGTGACCGCACCGTCGGGGCGTTGCCCCGACGGTCCCTAGGGAACCGTCGCCTGCCACGATAGGTGGGTAGAGACACGCGAACACGGAAAACACGGCCCAGCGCGAGACCGCAGCTGGGGGAATAACACGGCGAGAGGATGCCATATGGGCCATGGCGAAGCGTGAAGGGAACCGAAGCTCCGCTACCAACTAGACGTGAAGATGTGAGGTGTAAAAAGGCGATATTTTACAATGCGACAAGTGGCACGGCTTGTGAATAACAGGCGTATAACACAGGCACGTAGTCAGATTAGACCACGTGCCCCTGGGCCAAAAATGGCGGCGGAGTGCCCCACAACTGTTATCCCACTTAGGAGTTAGGTCGGGCATGTCCTCTTACAGGCTGATTTCGGGCGAAAACTTAAAATAGCCTCGTATGTAAATACATACCTATAAGACCGCCCTGCGGGCGACAAGGAGGTTGGGGGGGTTGTAAATGTCCACCCTGACTGACATCCAGCCTGTCACCTTGATCTCATCTCTCCCACCCTGTCCAGACTGTTACCTGATGGACTGATTTGGATGGATTGGATTGGGTGGGACAAGATAAGATGGGACAAGATGGGCTTGGAAACATAAGATGGATTGGGCTGGACAAGATGGATTGGAGAAAATAAGCTGGATTGGGCCAGAAAGACCGCCGCAGGCGCCGACAATAATGAATGGATGGATTGGGTTGAGTGGATTGGATTGGATGGGATAAGATGGATTGGATCAGATAAGATAGGTTGGACTGGAAGAGAGGATGGGATGTGGATTGGATTTGGTGGGACAGGATAAGATGGGACAAGACGGTTTGGATAAGATATGGCGGATTTGATTGGACAAGATGGATTGGAGAAGATACGCTGGATTGGATCAGAAAGCCCGCCGCAGGCGCCGACAAAAATGAATTGATGGATTGGGTTGGGTGGATTGGATGGGATGGGATAAGATGGATTGGATAAGATAAGACGAGTTGGATTGGAAGAAATGGATTGGATTTGATAATATGGATTAGATTGGCCCGCCGCAGGCGCAGAAACAAATGAATTGATGGATTGGGTTGGGTGGATTGGATTGGGTGGGATAAGAAAAGATGGGACAAGACGGGTTGGATAAGATAAGACGGATTGGATTGGACAAGATGATTGGAGAAGATAAGCTGGATTGGAGAAGAAAGCCTGCCGCAGGCGCGGAAAAAATGAATATGAAATTAGCGACATGCGTTAGCGCCGGGACGCCCGGGACACCCGGGACACCCGGGACACCCGGGACACCGCCCGGCCCAACTGGGACACCTCCCGGCCACCGGCGGACGGGAAACGGACTTTCGCTCCTACTGACACCCGGGACACCCAGGACACCGCCCGGCCCAACTGGGACACCTCCCAGCCACCGGCGGACGGGAACGGACTTTCGCTCCTACTTCGGCCTAGCTACAGGAGGATCACGCGCAGCTTCGCCTCGCCCGCACGCACGACACGAACACGAAACCGAAACCGACTTCCCGGTGGGGGGTCTCCATTTCACTTTGATCTCACCCCCCAACCTCCGATACCGTTCGAATTGGAGGCGGATGAGAAGGATGAGGATGACATAAGAGGACGAAGGTGTCAAAAAAAAACCTTCTGCTGGGATTTGTGTCGCGACGCGAGGGGTTCTGGGGCCCAGATCGACCCCTTGACCTGTACTCGAGTGCGTTCTGGCCAGAATCTCGAAGCGGGGACAGCCCCAGCGACGAGAACAGAATGCCAAAAAGAAAACCATGAAATCATCGGCCCTCGAACCCTCAACCTTCGAACCTCGGTCCTCGACGCGAGGGACTGTGGGCTCGAGCCACACCCTTGGCGAGCCTCGGGCAAAACACCCCGTTGGGATCAACCCTCGAGCCTCGATTTTCGAACCTCGACCCTCGAACCTCGACCCTCGAACCTACAGCTTCGATCCTTGATCCTCCAAATTCGATCTTCGACCTTAGATCCTCGAGCATTCGACCCTCGACTCTCGATTGGCGCGCCTGTCGACCCGCGCGCGGCCGGGCTGCGCCGCGGAGCGGCGAGGCAGAGGGCGCCGGGCGCGCGCGGAGCCGGCGCGGGGGCAGAAGGACGCCGACTGCACACTTGCAGCGGATCCTAGGCCCACCCTGGGCCCTGCTATTTTTTTTGGAGATAGAATTGGTTTTCTTGACTTAACTCGAGCTGCAGATGAGCTACAGAGCTCTTCGGCACAACAATCGGAAGGAAATCGTCAGGCGCGCTAGTTCAAAGTACCTAGACGCCCGAAATGAGTCTGCTATCAGCGCTCGGGCTGAAAAACTATTCGTACAGGGTCGGCGCAGGTGCCCTCCTGGCCTTGGGCGGGAAGGCGCAGATGCGCGGGTGTATATGCACACACACGTGTGCACACCGATCACTGCACCGACCTGGCAGACGTGCTGCAGCGGAGTTGTGCACGGATTTATGTCAACGCAAAACCCCGACACGGCGAGTGAAAGACGAAGGGAACCTCGCGTGGATCCTTTTCAGTCTTCCGTCCTGGCAAAAAAAATCCGCTCGAAATTCACCCCGAAATCCGGAACGGAACTCTCCAGGACACTCCGGGCTCATCCTACCGTTTTCCTAAAACGAAATCTGACTTACCTACCAGACCACCCCGACCCAACCCGAAGACCCGAATTTCGGGTTGGGGGGGGTAAGGGTTCCACATGTGTTTTTCCGATGTTTCCCGACCCCCCCCCCACTGGAAATCGAGGGCAAATCGGAGCCTTCGGGTTGGGTTGGGGTGGTTTGGTGAGTGGTGAAAATCCGCTCCGCGATGCTGGCGCCCTGACGCCGACCCTTGGCCCAGGGCCAGCCCGGCCAGGGTCGGTGCAGGAGCACCGACGGGTGCCCCCTGGCTGGCTGGGCGGGGGGGGGCCGGAGCCTGGCGGCGGGCCGTGCGATGGCGGCCGGCCTGGGAGGGCGAGGGGGGGCGGCGGCGGCGGCGGCCGCCGCTGACGCGTCCGGCGCCCAGGTCGTGACTACCTACCAGACCACCCCAAGCCAACCCGAAGACCCGGATTCCGGGTTGGAGGGGGTACGGGTTCCGTGTGTGTTTTTCCCGAAGTCCCCCGACCCCCCCCCACCCACACACTGGAAATCGAGGGCAAGTCGGGGCCTTCGGGTTGGCTTGGGGTGGGTTGGTGGGTGGTGAGGTCAGGTGTCAGGGCGGGCCCTGACGGGCGGGGCGGGGCGCCGAGCTGGTGACACACTCCCAGGAGCCAGCGTTTCGCACAGGGTCGTGTCTTGGACGGTCGAAGCATTCCCGTGGCCTGGGCCGGAGCCGCCCACAGCGGCAGCACAACTGACATCCGACCGAGCCGACCGCGAGACCGGAACCGAGCCCCAGCCCCCGGCGGAGAGGCGACGGCGGGCGCCGCCGTCGTCGCTGCCGCCTTCCGCGGTGACCGTCGCCGCCGCCGCCGCCGCCGTCGCCGCCACCGTCGCCAACCTCCGAAAGCCTCGAGGAGGAGAGCCCTCCGGCTTCGCGCCCCCGGGGGCCCTTGCAGGTCGGTCCAGCTCGAGTGCCGAAAGCCTCGAGGAGGAGAGCCCTCCGGCTTCGCGCCCCTGGGGGCCCTTGCAGGTCGCTCCAGCTCGAGTGCCGAAAGCCTCGAGGAGGAGAGCCCTCCGGCTTCGCGCCCCCGGGGGCCCTTGCAGGTCGCTCCAGCTCGAGTGCCGAAAGCCTCGAGGAGGAGAGCCCTCCGGCTTCGCGCCCCCGGGGGCCCTTGCAGGTCGGTCCAGCTCGAGTGCCGAAAGCCTCGAGGAGGAGAGCCCTCCGGCTTCGCGCCCCCGGGGGCCCTTGCAGGTCGCTCCAGCTCGAGTGCCGAAAGCCTCGAGGAGGAGAGCCCTCCGGCTTCGCGCCCCCGGGGGCCCTTGCAGGTCGGTCCAGCTCGAGTGCCGAAGGCCTCGAGGAGGAGAGCCCTCCGGCTTCGCGCCCCCGGGGGCCCGTGCAGGTCGGTCCGGCTCGAGTGCCGAAAGCCTCGAGGAGGAGAGCCCTCCGGCGTCGCGCCCGCCGGGGGCCCTTGCAGGTCGGTGCAGCTCGGGTGCCGCGGAGAGGCGGGATCGAGGGCCCCGGTCGCTCAGCCTCACGGTGCCCCACGCTGCTCGCGAAGTCGGAGCTCCGGGGGGCCGGGGGAGCAGCGGGGTCGTAGGGCGGCTCGGGAGGGAGAGGGGAGGGAGGGGGGAGGGAAGAGAGGGATCCCTCCTCCGCCCTCCACCCTGCTTCTCCCTCGCGACGTCGGATCTCGGAGGAGGAGGGAAAGGGGGAGGGAAAGGGGAGGGAAAGGGGAGGGAGAGGGGAGAAAGGAGGAGAGAAAGGGGAGGGAAAGGGGAGGGAAAGGGGAGGGAAAGGGGAGGGAAGAGAGGGATCCCTCCTCCGCCCTCCACCCCGCTTCTCCCCCGCGACGTCGGAGCTCCGAGGAGGGAGAAGGATGCCCAGGGCATGCATCGCCGCGACGCGCCCTGGCGAGGCGCCGACGCCGAGGACGGTCGACGAGGGCATCGCCGACGGCGACACTGGCGGCAACGAAATCGGCGGCGACGGCGACGACGGCGGCGGCGGCGACGACGACGGCGGCGGCGACGGCGGTGACGACGACGACGACGACGGCGACGACGACGACGACGAGGACGACGGCGACGACGGCGACGGCGACGGCGACAGTGACGTCGACGGCGGCGGCAACGGCAACGGCGACGGCGACGGCGACGACGACGACGACGGCGGCGACGACGACGACGACGACGGCGGAAGCGGCGGCGACGGCGACGGCGACGGCGACGGCGACGGCAACGGTGACGGCGACGACAGCGGCACGGCGACGGGATCCCCCCCCCAACGTGGACCCCAAGAGGTCTAGATTCTAGACCCTTTCCAAAGAACCATCTTTGAAATCCCAGGTCGTTTGTTGACGGGGGACCCGGTAAGGGCCCTCAGAGGCCGAAATCGGCCAAAAACCGGCAGTCGTGATTCTCTCGCGACGCGAAGAGGTTCGGGTGGGTTCGCTCCCTGGCCCCACCTGGAGCTCAAGCCTTAACGACAGGGCCGTTCTCTTGACCGGTGTCGTTTTGCATCTTGTGTTGCCGGTTCTGGCGTAGTTTGTTCCCCTGCTCCGTCGCCGTTTCTAACTATGGCTCCCTCATGGAGCCGTTGTTGTGTCCGTTTCCAGGAGTGTTTAGTTTGTTCAATACCTAGGCTCTGCCTAGAAGGGTTCTTGCTCGGTAAGTTGAAAGGGCCGGGCAGTGGGGCCCGCCCCGGGCGGTTCCCCCAGTATCCGCCCCGCGGTTCCCCCAGGTACGCTCCCTTAGCTTAGCGTTGCTTATCTCATCTTAGCTCAGCCTAGCTTAACTTAGCTTAGCTTAGCTGAGTTTAGCCTAGCCTAGCTTAGCTTAGCTTAGCTGAGCTTAGCTTGGCTTGGCTTGGCTAAGTTTAGCTTAGCTTAGCCTGGCCTAGCCTAGCTTTGCTTAGCTTAGCTTAGCTTAGCTTAGCATAGCTTAGCTTACCTTAGCTTAGCGCAGCGCAGCACAGCATAGCGCAGCGCAGCATTAGCACAGCATAGCATAGCATAGCATAGCATAGCTCAACATAGCATAGCATAGCATAGCATAGCATAGCATAGCATAGCGCAGCATAACATAGCATAGCATAGCATTGCATAGCACAGCGCAGCATAGCATAGCATAGCTTAGTTTAGTTTCGCACAGTTTAGATGTAGGTGTAGATGTAGGTGTAGATGTAGATGTAGATGTGAGTCTCGCTGTTGATGTTGATGTAGATGTAGATGCAGGTGTAGATGTTAATGTAGCTGTCGGTGTAGATGTAGATGTTGCTTTCCTGGATGCTCCAACTCATAGGTAGGGTCGCACTGGGATAATTTGTTTATCGATTTCACGTTCCAAAGACGACAATGTTTGAAAACGGCCCCCCCAAAAAACAGCCCTGCCGTTTCTGGAGCCCACTGAGTCACCGAGTCGGCTCACGCAGCTGGCTTTCCCAGGCCGAAACCAGCTGCACGCAGCATCTCGCACCCCCCCCTCTCCCAATCAGACCCGTTTCGTCCGACCCCCCCCAGACATCCGATGTCCTGATTGTGTCGGTACGGGGTCCCCGCAAGTCTCGACCCTTTCTCCAAGGCCGTGTTATTGCTCCCGAATCGTCCTCTGTGGGTCGCGAGGCTACTGTCGGCCCGCATCAGAAGGACGCGGGCCGTTTCGAAGCTGCCCGAGCGGGGCGCGGCCAGCGAAAGTCGCCGAGGATGGGCCGAGGAGGCAGGGATGCGAGGGGCACCCCTTGGGAAGGCTGCCCATCCTCACTCCACGGGTTGGCTGTAGACTGTGCCGACCGGACCTGGCTGCGGGCCCCCGGCCCTCCGGGCGCGGCGCGCGACGCCAGGAGGAGCGCGTCGGGGGGCGCGCCTCCGGGCGGAGGGGCCCCGTAGTGGTCCGGCGGCGGGGCGCCTGCGGGGGCAGGCGCCGAGAGGGACGAGGGTGCCAGGCTCCAAGGTCGAGGCTCGAAGGTCGAGGTTCGAAGCTCGAGGATGGAGGCTCGAGGGTCAAGGCGCGAGGGTCGAGGGTCGAGCGCGACGGGGGTGTGGCTCGAGCCCAGCGTCGAGGTGCGAGGCTCGCTGCTGGGGGTGCGGCTCGAGCCCAAGCCCTGTCGCATCGAGGATCGAGGATCGAATGTCGAGTGTCGAGCGTCGAGGCTCGAAGGCGCCCCTGGCCTGTTCGGGGCCCCCGCGCCTCCGTGGCGGGGCCAGTGCGCACCTCGGGGCAGGCCTGGGGGGTGCCTCCGGGGGCCTCCGGGTACCTCCGAGGACCTCCGCGGACCTCTGTAGAGGAAAAAGAATTATGCACATACACCGATTCTGGCCAGACCCATCCTGAGCCCAGGATCGGTGCATATGCCCTCCTACCTTGGCCAGGAAGGCATATGCACCGACCCTGGGTCAAGGATGGACGTTGTCAGGATCGGTGCATGTGCATAATTCTCTTCGCCCGACTCTGGAGACTTCCGAGCCGTCGCCGTCGTCGTCGGCAGCGTCGTCGCCGTCGTCGCCCTCGCCAGCAGTGGCTTCGACATCGTCGCCACCATCGCCAGGATTCTTGTCATCATCGAGGTCTCCGTTACCGCCAACATCAGAATGTCACATGTTCATTCATCTTCCCTCTCCCCTCCGTTTCCCCCCTCCTCCTGATCCTCCTCCCTCTCATCATCAGCATCATGAGGTGCTCATATTCACCGTGGTAACCATAAGCATGTTCATGACCATTATCCCCATCAGCAACATAATCATCCTAGTCAGCCTCATCAGCGGCACCATCATCGACACTATACCATCGCCCAACATAACCCACTCTTCATCCGACTCGGGAGAGCTCTGACAGAACTTCAGTCGTTGAAAGATGTCTCGGCCCTGCTCGGGGCCTCAGCCAAAGCACAGAAGCGGGCGAACGTCTGCTCACGGAGGGTTGGAGCAGGATCTGTCCGCATCGAAACGGGGAAATCCGATCAGATTGGAATGTGCACTGGACCGCGCTGCGCGTCGGCACACAGTCGAACCGAATTAGACCGGGACCGAGCCGCATCAAATCGTCGGAAAACTGCAATCGAATCGAATCGGGCCGTCCAGAACAGACATCGACTCGGACCGATCGGGCCAAAATCGGCCCAGGAAGGTGCGGGAGAAGTCCCACCCCCCAGACCGAGCGCTGTGACAAGATCACAACGTCACGAAAGAATGCCCGGCGGCGCCGGCCTCCTTAGAGGGGTCGGACCTCCTCAGAAGGTTCGGAAGGCCTCCAGCTCTCTGAGAAGCCTTCTACGCCTTCCCCGAAGCAGCGCAAGGGCTCCTCAGAAGGCTGGAGGGCGTCTGAGGCGCCCCGCCGCGCTCCGAGAAGGCCTCCACTCGGCGCGCCGCCGAACCACGGTGGGCGCCGACGGGGATGCGGGCCTCCCCGGGAGGGCGACAACAACGGTGCGCCTTCTGCACGCCGCGTCGGGAAACGGGGCCAGGGAGCCCCTCCTCGCGCCGTCAGCTCCTACGCAACGGCTCCCTCCCCTGGCCCTGCCCAAGGCCGAGGCAGGTCAGAACTGCGTGAAAGACGCGGTCGGCGAGCTCGGCCTCGTCCACACGCGGGGTATTCATGAGGCCTGGGCCGGCCCGCGAGAGCTCGAAAAGGTACAGAGACACGGGGCGAGGTTTGCGAAACTGCCGGGCATCGCCTGGCCTCGCGGCGCCAAGATGCAAGGGCACCAGCGGAGGCCCCTGGCGCTTCTGCCCCCTCCCACCCCTTCGCATGCATGTCCATCCGC